TATCTTAGAATAGAATAAATGATTGACAATGAGGAGAAAGTACTCCTGAGCATATTAATAAAAACTAAACAGTCATATAATGTTGCGGAAGTAGGGTGGAAAGAGGAAGAAGATAGGGAAGAAATAGAAATCAGACCAAGAAAAGAAAGTTCCACGGGTGTTAACTGGGACTTTGAAGAGCAAAACAGCTTAGTCGATAGAGGAAAAGAGAGGCAATACAAGACATGAAAACACATTAAGCTGCATCGGGTACATTGATGAGCCACAAACCAAGGGTCAGAGGTGTGGTGTGGAGAAACATAGGGAGCATGAGAAGAAGCCTCTACTTGTGTTTAGATCTATCTGGGTTAAGCTTTGGTGAGAAAGAAGACGAGAGGTAGAGGCAATAAGAAACTGGCAGAAAATAAATCAAAACTATTGCCGAATATTGAGAATAAAAAAAGGGAAGGTAGGCTGAAGCTATACGAAGAAAATGGGATAAAAGAGGATAATGTGTGGTGAGCTGAAAAATTATTAGAAGTTTGCTCATACTCAAAGAATGGTTATGGTATCAAGGATGGGTTAGAGATGGGCATTTATGATGAGTCAAAGTGGACCAGGAGGAATATCGTCCAGGGGGAACATCGTCTCCTCGTAGTAAGGGTCTTGTCCGACCTGTTCTGTTTCCGTTTGTATTCTGCTCCGTCCCCTTGTAGATCTTGGAATGTCAGCCATTTGGCGGGAGCCTCCACAATCATGCAGGTCGGTAACACTTTCATTACCTAACCAGTTAGCATTCCAGCCTCGAGGTACCTGACCGTCTGGATGACGAACGCCAGCACGGATGGTTGAACTGGCAACTAAGCCATCGTTGCTTGAGGCATTGAATGAGGTGTCGGTCTCCCAAGAGCATTCGAGGGAAGAAGCTGATGATGAAGCAGATGAGTCAGCATGCCCAATGAGTCTTCCGACATCCTCAAGCGGCATTGCTGCCTGAGGCGAGTCAAGTAGGCTGCATGTCGGCCTGAACTGAGAAGACGTAGGTAAAACGTCCTCAGAAGAAGGTTCCAAAGTATGCTGTCTGATTCCAGAGCCCAACTCAGACCTCCAATTGCCTCTGTCGTAACGGTCGCCACTAG